ATAACTGAATTAAATTTGTAATCATTCATGAAACTAATCAAAACTCCTCAAAACACAATATAAACTATGCCAACTATATACATCAATTTAGACTTTTTTAACTTGTAAGAAATTATATTTGTAAAATCTCAGCGATATTGAAATAAGCAATTCCAATGATTCGTTCGGCAATCTGGTCCGAACTTATGTTGCAAATAGCATCCCAGTGATTTTTGTATTTTTTTTCCAGCAACATACATCTCTAAAAAAAGACGTGAATACCACAATAATTCTTCATAACTCTGGGTATATTTTCTCGTATGTATTTCTTCTGCTGGTTTTATATTCATGTATGCATCGAATAACTGTGGAAATATTTTCATGTTATTTTTTCTGCTACTAGTAACAACAATCTATTTTAGTATTAGTAGTAAAAATGTCCTTTTTTCTATTTCATCATCTTAGTGTTTTTCATTAATTACGTGGTTTCGCGCAGAAGAGTATAGAAATAGACAATCATGCTACTGCACGACGATGGTACAGCGGTTAGAACTCTCGTCGACTATGCACATGGTCCGAGGTTCGATCCCCTGCTGTTACACATATGTGATATCAACCGGTCGGCCTGCAAAATTTGGGCTAACGATATCATATGCTGAAAATTACATACTTGTACCAAAAGTCCTGTTTGGAATTAAGTTATGATAAAAATAAATAAATAAACGGTATGACAATTTAAAGAAGCAAGTCTATGTCTAGTGTCACATCGAATTCGTTTACAAACTTGAATACATTGAAACAAATTCTTTCCTAAATTCCAGTGGATATTTTTTTTGATTACAGCTTGATCCCACACATTACTTTTTGTTAAAAGTATGAATATTTCAGCATGTGATATAGGTAGCCTAAATTTTGCAGGCCGACCATAGATATCAGGTGTGCGCCGGCAGAGGATCGAACCCCGGACCGTGTGCATGGTCGGCGAGAGTCCTAACCCCTGTGCCACCGACGCACACGCTGCAATTCGAGGTAAAATGGTAGTGATATTTATACTAGCACCGCTGACACTATTAATAATAACAATAACTATTCATCAGCATTCACAAACAAGCTTTTGTTGCTTACTGTGTGGCTATGTTTAAAGCATACCAGCAATTTTCATTTATTTTCAAGGATTAGTTTGTAAGGATTCGAGTTGTGTTTACGAGTTTGACAAAGGATTCATTTAAGTAAGAGAAATATTGAAAACCAGCACTGGAGTACTGGCCAACTGTTTTGTCAGCCTACTTTGGGAATCATCGGCAGTACGCACCGCCCATCGCCAGGGGAAAAACCCTGGACTTTCCGGTTACAGGGCAAGTTCGTATACTATTCAGCCACTTGGACCCGACTCGATGCTCCATGAACTGTGACCGGAATGTCCTGGGTTCACCCCCTGCCTAGGGGTGCATAACGCCGATGATTCCCAAAATAGATTGACGAGACAGCTGTCCAGTACTCTCTGGTTTTCAATGGTTCTCTAACTGATACTGTAACAACAGAAGACAAGGACTGGCAACAGATCGTTTTATTACGAAAATCAACACGTATTTATATATATTTTATATGCATTAATAAGGCTTATGCAAGCAGAAAAAGGCAGTCTTCTGATTGGTTGTTTCTCGGAAGTTAAGCAGACAAACACAGTCTTATGATTGGTTGTTTTCGATATTTCTCGGAAAGTAGAGCCATCTATCTGCGAATCATATTTGTCCACATTTAAGTTTGCTGTGATTGGTTGTTGAAACAGCCTTGTTCATATTTTCTCACGGCCCATATTAGTGACCTAGACATTAACGTAGATTAGTGCCAACCAATCGGCTAGCAGCCTGCTCTCACCACACTCGTCCCCCCGTCAAATAGCTTCGTGCGCAGACGTTCCGACCTTCTGGGTGCTACATCCTCTAGTTGAGGATTGTTACTGACCGGCTTGTCCCACTGTACCCATCTTTGGAGCTGACTGGCGTTAACTCGTTTCTGTTTATCACCTCTTCGGATGGTATATACTTGACCCCGTCTTTTTGTGATTGTGTATGGTCCTTCCCACTTTGGAAGGAGTTTCCGTGAACCTAGCCCGCCTCCAACTGTATATCTCCTGTCTCTACACTTCACTTGGTCCCCGACTGCAAAGGTAATGCACTGCGTCCTTTCTTTCATCTGAGACTTCGTGACATCACTGCGCTGCTTCCGTATTACATTCTTGACTGCCTCTTTCCTCTCTGCTTTTAATTTCGTCGTACTCCACTTTTGGTGCATGGGCCAGGTCTCATTGTGTACCGGTAATCGTGGTTTTCTACCATACATCAGTTGGAAGGGTGACTTCTTCGTTGTTTCCTGAGTGGTAGCCCGATGTGTTAGTAAAATCAGTGGAAGCTCCGTTTCCCAGTTCCCGCCCTTCGAAGCCAGCCACTCCTTCAGTGTACGGTTGTTTCTCTCCGTTAGGCCATTCGTTTGTGGATGGTATGGGGTCGTTCTGATCCTCTTGATGCCCAGCTGTTGCAAACGGGAAGTAAACTCTTCACTCTCGAAACAGGGACCTTGGTCTGTCAGTATTGTCTTCGGTACGCCGTGGTCTGCAACAATGTGTCTAACTACTGCATCTGTCACGGTTCTTGCACGTTGGTCTGGGATTGCTACGGCGTCTACCCATCGTGTCGCGTGTTCCGTCATCACCAAGAGGTACTGATTACCATTGGATGTCTGAGGAAATGGACCCATGACATCTACGGACCACAAGTCACCTATCGCGGTAACTGGAATCGACTGAAGTGGTGGTCGTATATACCGGTCACCTTTCATCAGCTGGCACCGTGGACATCCAAGTACGTATCTTGCTACGTCTTCTCTCATACCTGGCCAGTACATACTTTGTCTTAGGAGGTCGGTCGTTCTGGCCACGCCTGTATGCGCTAGCTGGTGACATTCTTCTATCATGTCGTGGCGCGACGATTGAGGTATGACAGCCAGCCAGCTTCCGTCGTTCTCTCGCCAGGTCAGAGTCCCGTAGGCATTCACTCTGAGTCGATCCCTCTGTCTGAGTAGTGTGGTTAGCTCCTTACTCGCCGTAGTTTGATCCACTTCTATTCCGTTGGTGATCACCTGTATTACTGTATTCAGCGTATCGTCCAACCTCTGCCTACGTGCAAGTCTTAGTGGGTCTTGTTCTACTGCATGCACTCCGTAAGCGACCTCGGGCAACTCAGACTCATCTTCTGGTCTCGATAACAAATCTGCCAAGACATTTTCACTTCCAGGAACGTGTGAGATCGTAAAATCGTACTCCTGAAGACGCAACATCCACCGTGACAACTTCCCCCGTGGGTCTCTCGCTGTCTTCAAAAATTGTAGCGGCTTATGATCAGTTTCGATGTGGAACCGCCGGCCGAGTAAATAAGGTCTCCATTTGTCGACTGCCCATACCATTGCTAAACATTCTTTCTCTATCGTTGAATACTTTCTCTCTGTGAGGGTCAAAACCCTACTGGCATACTCAACGATTCCCTCGTCCTGTCTTAGGACCGCACCTATAGCGTAGTCACTGGCATCTGTGCACACTGTGAACTGTCTTCCTGGCACAGGTAGTTTTAGCGTCATTTGTTGGTGGTCGAGCAGCTGTTTAATTCTGTCGAATGTCCTCTGCGATTCTTCCGACCAAACAAACTTTGGCTCACCTAGTAGCCTGTATAGAGGGGCTGCTATCTCATTGAAGTTCTTCACGAAGCGACTATAAAACGCTGCTCTACCCAAGAATTGTCTCAGTTTTCTCTTTGAATTCGGGGCTGGAATCGTTTTAATCGTCAAAATTTTCTCCGGCAGTGGTTTAATCTCACCATTTCCCACTTTATGTCCCAACAGAGTAACATTCTTTTTGGCTATCTGAGACTTGGTTTTGTTGACGCGTAGTCCAAACTCTTCGATGCGTCGCAGCACGGCTTCTACATGGTTGACGTGATCGTTTTCGTTTTGACTGTATATGACGAGATCATCACCATAAACCTCCACGTTTTTCAAGTTCTTAAGTAATAGCTTCATCAGTCGTCTGAACGTAAACGGTGCACCTGCTAGTCCAAACGGCATGCGTTTAAATCGATATTGTGTCTGACCCACGATGAAAGCCGTCTTATCTCTATCACCTTGTTTTATCGGTATCTGCCAGTATCCTGAGCGAAGATCGAGAACCGAAAACACATTCGCACCTTGTAGGCGATCTAAAGTTTCTACCACTGTTGGCATGGCACACGGTCTTAACTCTGTCATACTGTTTAACTGTCGAAAATCAACACAGAATCTATACTTCCCATTCGCTTTTTTTACTAACAGCACTGGAGAGTTGTACGGGCTATCAGCTTCCTCAATAATATCATCTTTTAACATCTCTTGCACTTGTCGCTCCACTTCGCCTTCCAGATGACATGGAACTCTTCGCGTTAAAAATGACCTTACTTTCGGATCACTTAACGGAATTTCATGATTCACCTTATCGCAATAACCGTATGGGTCGCCATCTCCAGTGAACAGATGATCGTATTTATTAATTAACTCTGTCACATTGTGTACCGTCGACAGCTTAATCGCTGCTATCTCGCTGGTCTCATACATGTTGATATGCCCGTATTTCGTGATCACCACGTTCGCTTGCGTGTCGATTATTGCACCAATCTCACGCAGAAAATCCGCTCCTAATATCGTTCGCTGTAGTTCGGGTACAACAATGAAAGGAAACGTCACCTCGCAGCCACCAACAACGACCGTACAGTTCGATCTACCCGTGATACGCAACACATACCCGCCTACTGTTTGTACTGTCAATGAACACGGACTAACACTCTTACATAAATTCTTATCTATTAACGACACGGCCGCCCCTGTATCTATCAAACATACTACTTCTCGATCATTCACTCGCAACTTCGAATACAGAGCCCTTTCTCAATAGCCCCCACTAAATCTAGGTTCATACGAAAGAAAGAACAAGCATTATACCGTCTGAAATTTTTTCTTTTTCGCCTTTCTGGGCAGTATCTTCTCCAGTGTCCCGGCTTACCGCATTCAAAACACCGGTCTTTTCTATCAGCCAACTTTAACGCCGCCACTTCCCGCTGCAATGCTTCAATTTTCTGCTCATATTCGTTTGGTTTTGGTTGGTCTATAGCGGCTACCGTTGTGCTCAGCAGCTGTCTGGTCACCTTCGCCAGCTCACTAATATCCATCGGCTGCGTTGCGTTAACCAGTTGTAATCGCTGAGAAATGTGGTCTGGGACACTCTCGATGAATTGGGAAGACAGTAACTGCGCTTCTGATTCTTCATCTAAAGTGGGAAGCGCGCGTCGAAGTAGATTAGTCAGTTTCACCGCCAACACTAGCGGGTCTCCATCAGGTCCAAGCTTCATTGACCGGAACTGCTGCATTGCTAGCTGTCTGTCTGTTTCGCTGTCAAACTCGGACACTAGTCGTTCAACCAATTTCTTCCAAGACGCTGTGCCATTTGACCTGTCTACGCTGTCATATGCAGCCTTCGCTCGGCCTCTCAACAGCGTCCCCAGGACAACTGCCTTCGCCGCCTGCTCCTTGACACCCACCAGCTCAGCAACGGCCTCGAAGTCACGTAAGAAGCTCCGTATGTCTCCTTCTTCAAACGCAGCTGGCCACGGGATCTTCATTTTTTGGAGGCAGCGACACCAAATGTAACAACAGAAGACAAGGGCTGGCAACAGATCGTTTTATTACGAAAATCAACACGTATTTATATATATTTTATATGCATTAATAAGGCTTATGCAAGCAGAAAAAGGCAGTCTTCTGATTGGTTGTTTCTCGGAAGTTAAGCAGACAAACACAGTCTTATGATTGGTTGTTTTCGATATTTCTCGGAAAGTAGAGCCATCTATCTGCGAATCATATTTGTCCACATTTAAGTTTGCTGTGATTGGTTGTTGAAACAGCCTTGTTCATATTTTCTCACGGCCCATATTAGTGACCTAGACATTAACGTAGATTAGTGCCAACCAATCGGCTAGCAGCCTGCTCTCACCACAATACCAATCCATCATCATACTCGAAAAACAAATCTAATCCTTACAAATTAACTCTTGAAAATTTCAAGAATGCTGCTGATATTATTAGTATTACACAGTTGTTTCAATTCTACTCTCATCATTTACTTCAGTTGATTATCTCTTGGTTAAATTTATGTGCAACCATGTGTTCATTTATTTGTCCACCAATAAACTGACTGCCCAGTTAACCTTCTAAATATGTACAAGCTTAGACAGAGTGGCGCCAAATCAATAAGTCATGCATATATATATATACGGAACATTTGTGTATATGTATGCCTAGACAGATACAGAAGTATTTGTGAGCAAATTAATGTAAAATTAACTGTAATTTTATCTCTCTCTCTCTCTGGCTTGTTTTTGTCTTTATCTCTGAAAAACAAAAACCATGGTTGAAATTTGTGACGCAGGAATGCAAAGAAACACTGTATTTTTAGAAGTAAAAACGAGACAATTTTCATTTACTACCCAACATCAAATAAAACTGATAATTTGGTAACAGGATTTTGTCATGAGCTGACATTGGTTAGAGAACCATTGGAAAACCTTTACGGAGTACTGGACAGCTGTTTCGTCAGCCTAGTTTGGGACTCTTCATCAGTACGACCCACCACCAGGGTTAGAACCCAGGACCTTCTGGTTACAAGACCAGCGAGCTCGTAGACCATTAAGCCACTAAGACCCGATCCAATGGCCAGCTGATGAATTCTAACTTCTGCCAAATCACGATATAGCGCAACCGCTAGCCAATGTCTTTGGCGAGTATTTGTCCTCTCACCTGACCTGCTGCACCCTACTGGTCACGACTTCCCACGAGAACCCCAGGTAACTGCCTACCTGAATAGAGCCAGTCGCCAGTGAGCATCTCATTGGTATTCAAGTGTTGGTTTGTAGGAATTTGGTTGATTGGTAACAGAATTTCATCGTGAAGTGACATTGGGTTTCTGGGTTCGTCCTGGGTTCGAATTCCGGTGGGTGCGTACTGATGAAAAGTGCCATACTAGGCTGACGAAACAGCTGCCCAGTACTCCCAGATTTTCCAATGGTTCTCTAACCAATGTCAGCTCATAATGAAATCCTGTAACCAATCAACCAAATCTCTACAAACCAATACTTGAAAACTGATAATTAGCACAATAATCAACGAAGAGACTCTTTTCAACGAATTCATTATCAAGCTGTACACCCGTATATATATATATATATAAGAAAGATACAGGTAAAGAGGATAATAATAATAATAATTTGCTTTATTCCAAAACAGTACTTGTGATACAGAATGGAATTCTCAGCATTTCACCACGCTATCGCATCCAGTTAGTACATTATCAATAAATAAGATTAAGAGTAATCTTGGTTAGTTTTGACAACAATATATTAGCATGTTGGTACAAAAGCCAAAATTGAACAGAATGTTTGAAGGTGTTAGGAAAGTAGATACTAGCATATTTACTAGCGTAAACGGTAACAAAGAGGTCGACATATACAGAGTGTGAAAGAACGATAAAGAATGTTTTAAGTAGAGTTTGTTAGGAGGAAAGAAGCAAAGCAGCACATAACAGAAAAAAAGAGAGAAAGAAAGCGTTGTACCTATAAATGTTATGTGTTGGAAAGACGAGATTCAGTTATTCTAGTGATTATTCAATAAGCTATAGGTATCACGCCTAATGATTTCTTTATCGCACAAAACACGAGCTAAGTAGGGTATGGTTGAGTTTTTGTAGTTTCTAGTGTGGGCATATACTTTTCTACATAGGCTTCTGGTTCTGCCTGATGAGATACATACAAGGGGAGAGTTGTGAATGAAGAGGGTGGTGTGAGTCAGATAAAATGGATTGAGCCCATTTTTCAGGTGAGTCCAAGTGCCTGTCGACCATAATATTAACAAACTGGTTCAGTGTTACGTAGCTTACCCTGATGACAACCTTTAACACCCTACGTAATAAGACATAGTCCTTCTTTAGTAGCCCTGGAAAAACTAAGGGGGAACAATAGAGAACAATGGACAGGATGCAAGAGTTAACGAATAGTAGGAGTAAGGTTTGGGTTATTCCAGAGTGTCTTAACTTCTTGATGTAGAAGGTAAGACGGAATATTTTCATCAAGATATGAGACAACCAGTTAAGATCTATCAGCAGATAGAATGACGCCAGTATACTTAATTTCCGACTTCGTTTCTATTTTAGTACCATCTATGTTGCACACCTCGTGAGTTCTAACCAGTTTGCTTAGGTAAGATTTATGCCTAAAGGTGAAATTGACTGTTTGACATTTAGAGGGATTTAAGGTGAGATCGTTTTCCTTGTACCAGTGGCTGATTTCTGATAAAAAGCCATTTAGTTTGAAGCAGTCACTTTGACACTTGGCAGGCAAAAATACAGTCAGATCGTCAGCATATTTGACAAATTTAATATCATTTGAAGATGGTGAGTCATGTAGAAAGAAAGAAAGAAGTGAGAAGTGGGGAGAATACAGTGGCTTGAGGGACACCAACTTCAGTGAGCACATCAGAGGAGGATTTACCTTTGTATACATTGTATTGCATTCTGTTTGAGAAATAGGAATGCAACCAGTTTGTGACCCAGGACTCAGTTTGTGTCATCGAGAGCTTATTTATCAAGTGACGTCTAGGTACAGAGTCGAAAGCCACTGAATAAAGATTTCGGACTTCGAAAAAATTGAATGGTGTGGATTTTAATTTTTACCAAAGTATATTACCGACATACGTAGCTCATTAACTTCAACAAGTGAGGCAATCATTTCATTAACCTCTTATCTATTAGCACCATCATCCGCATTCAAAACAAGAGAATTGATAATTCACTAGAGTATAACATCATTTAATTTTATGACAATATTACACACTGCGTCTCTCAGTGTTATAAGCGAAATGAAAGCCATGAAGTCTCGATTGTAATCATGACAATTATTGCGTCTTTAGTGTTTAACTCTGAGTATCTTGCAGACACGAATCACACCAAACAAGTGAATTATAAAGCTACTATTTTTATAACACAGATTTAGTAAAGTTTGTGATGCTGTTTGGCATATGCATACCCCAGGGTATTCATATATGTATATAAATATATATATATTCTGCCTTCTCGGTAGGCAGATGTTTTTGCCAAATCGTTACATTTTCTCATGCAAACCATGTACACTTATTGTAGACAGAAAATTTCATAATTTCAAAATAATCATTGATATATGAAACAAACTAAATGCATTAAAACACAAAAAAAGAGTAGTATAGTTCTTATACAGCACAATATTTAATGAGTCATGCGTCAAATGAATACTAGTCTACAGTTGTTTATTATTTAATGATAGAATTATAAAATGAAAATCTGTGCAAACCAATATTTGAAAATAAATCTAGTGCTCAGTAGTGATTAACTTCAAAATGAAATACCTGAAGTTCAGGTGAGAAATCGCCACTAAATGAAGACCACTAAGTCGGGTGTGAAGACAGATACACGTTGACAACGTCGGTTGACAGTGGCGCGATATATACATAGCGAACTGGCAGAAGTTAAAATTTATGGAGTATTGAATTAGTGTCCTAATGGTTGAGTGGTATACGGGCTAATTAACAGTAGCTCTCGGCTTCGATCCCTGGCGAGGTCATTTACGAAAATCACTATGGAGTCCTAAACAAGCATGATACAGCTGTCCAGTACTCTCTAGTTGTAACTGACTCTCTAATTGATTTCAGTTGGTAATCTAACTAGAATGATAAACTACAGTTATCTCCGAGTAGATCTGATTGACTTGGATGTTATAAGTGAGACAGTAAGCAAACGAAACTATTTTTATTTTTTATTCCTTTATTTTTCCAGTGGAACGTAGGGCTTCAAGCTAGAGGCCTAGAGTTTCAGTAGTAGTGGTGTTCATTTCTACGGGATGAGGTTGATAGCCTAATACCCAACCTTCCTTCTTTACCATTTTTATTACTGGCTTAGCTAGGTAAAGGAGTGCGTCGGCTGTTGGTCAAACCCAGGGCTACATGCATGGTTGGCGAGCATTCTACCGCCGTACCTCCGACGCACACAAGCAAATGGAACTAGTTATTCACTAATATATATTAAGTTCAGATTCTTTGAACTGAATACAGCATAACAATTCAGTATAAATCCTGCAAAAAGGGAACTGATGGTTTGTTGCTTTTCCAGCTGCAGTTCTTCAGTTTAATAGCGGTTACATGCGAAAACATAACCCAAGTTTCTTGACTATGGTTAAATCCATGAGGTCATGAGGTTGTGCAACTCAAGTATAAAATCTGGTGCCTTCAAGCTTTTTCTTTTGAAAATTACATTCTCGTATAGTCATACACAAATGAATACTTAGATCAAAAGTTGAATTGATAAAGTGTAAAATATAGTGAACATTTCTCAAATCACATGTCTACCAATTTATACTTGAAAATATACAGATATATGTATTCATCTACTTAGAAGTCGGTAGCACAGCGGTAGAATGGTTGCCAACCACTCATGTAGTCTGTGG